CTACAAGTAGCCTGGCCTGCCCCAGTGTGAGCCCACCCAAAGGTCTGCTTCCAATGTGCTGTGAGTTAGAGATGATTTATGATGTGTGTCGCAGAAAAGCACTTCAGCTCTGCTGACCACACCCTCAGTGCTCTTGTAAAGAGAATCCCAAGAGAGTCTTTGAGGGCTGTTGTGTGAAGAAGAAAAGAGAACCACACAATGTAATAGATATTTTAAGCTCTTTCCCCATTAGCTTTCTGTCATCCCACGACTGAGTGCGGGGGGCAGGCAAATCCTGCAGCCTCCTGTGGCTTCCCCAAGGGCTTCTCTCCTTGGAGAGTCCTTCCTATTCATCAGAGCACTAAGGGGCCACTCGTGACAGGCTGTGGATAAAGTACAGACCTCCCTAGATTAAAGCAAGAGTGGTTTGGATTCTGTCGGCACAGTTTTTCTGTAGTGCTCTCTTGGAAATCTCTCTGCTGCTTTTATAACTAATCTTTACTTCGGGGCCTTCTAGCTCGCTAGAATCCCTGTTCTCCAGCACACCTGTGAAGTTGCAAAGGGCCTTACTGTCTTACAGTTAGACTACTGGGGTGTCTGGGATTGCTCCCCAGATCTTGGGTTGTCTGTGCACCTTGGTCAAATTGCATCTGTATAGGAAGCCACATCTGGGTGCGTAAGTGCCCGGTGCAACCTGGTTTCAGTCCAGGAAGAGAGCTGTGGTGCGCTCCGTTGAGCTCAGGTCCACGGACTGGGAATGAAGACTGAGATGAAGCAGTCTACGGACCCTGTGCTTTCTCTCATATCAGGCTATAAAGTCGATTCCCAAGGAGGAGCAGCGAGAAGAAGCACTGGCCCAGCTCAATAAGGCAGCACTGGAGCTGCGTGTTAAACAGAGACCAACTCAGACAGACCTTTTGTATCAAATCTGGTGCGTTACCATTGCAAGATAAAGCTTGTAAATGCATCGTGGGATCAACAGCCTTAGCAAGCTCTGTTGCAAGCGTTGTGATTCAGAGTGCAGATGATTTTATGAGGTCTAGAAGTCGTCTTTACACTCTGTTTTTTTATAGCTTAATTGTAGCAGCTGTCTAGGACCCAAATGCCTGTGATTTATTTTTTTTTTTTCTGGAGATAAGTTTAGCATACAAAATTCATGTAAGTTTGGGGAGTATACAAGAGTATTTCTGGCAAGATTATTCTAGTCTATATTTATGAAACCTTTGGGTAATTTTCTGTACCCTTTTACTCAGATAACTGTATCCTCCCTCATATAGTCTCTCTGTTCTTTGCTCAGGCTCTCAGACTAAACATATCAACAGCTTCTAAGTTGCTTCTAAATTAGAAGGATGCGTGTTCCCCTTGGTAAACACAGAGAGCAGGTTGATGCTGATTTACCAACGTGTGTCATGTTGAAGGGCAGGAGATCTAGTTTCACTGTAATATTTATGGGCCCATATGAGCCCATTGATTTGCAAACCGTTGAGACTTCAGAGAGTTCAAATATGAGGAAAGTAATGTAGCTTCCCTCTGCACAGATTTTTTTAGACGGTGGGTGCTATTTTGTTGGTTTAGTTGGACAGAGCAGCTCTCAGCTGCTCACTGCTGGGCACAGGGTAAAACAAGATGGCAATTGCCACATTCTCTCCCTTCTGATTCTGATACTTTTCTCAGTCTCCAGCTGTGGCGTGAAACAATTGATGATCTGGTGAGTCACTCTGTGAGGCTGAGATCCCTGCTTGGCTTGCCTGAGAAGAACACCATCTATATAGATGCTGTTCCAGAGGAAAAAGGTAAGTGGTAGTTTGAGCACAGCAACTGGTGTCTGCGGACTGTTGGAAATCCAGAAAACACGCTGAACTTCAACTGAAATGGCAATTTCAGCAGTTCCCCATCAAAGCTTTTATAAGAAGGTGCATGAGAAAAAAATGGCAGATTATGCGATGCTAATTGTGATCTGTGGTTTTATGTTTTTAAAAAAACACCGCACAAATAAGCCTTTTAATTTACCTAGATGTAGCCATGTTTTTTTTCACAGACTAACCCAAAAAACCCTAGCTCACTAGGGTCTCACAGGCTTGTTCTGATACACATCTGAGACCCATTCATTCCTTATTTAAACAAAGTACTCTTGAAGGTATTGTTTTTCAGTGCAGTGCAGCTCAGGTTAAGAAAAAGAGGAAAATACATTGCAAAAGTAATATACTTCCACTGCGTGAGTGCGGTGGGCTTGTCTTTCTGGATGTGAAAATGTTGCTTTTGGGTAATTGAAATTCTTTCTTTTTGTAGTGGAAGTACAGCAACCTATAAAAGGAGGAAAGGAAGACAGAATAACCACTAGGAAAGAAGAGAGAAGGTCATTTGGTGGTAAAGATAAAGAAGGCAAAAAAAGAACAACAAAGACAGCAACAAGTGCTGGGGATGGTGTGATCCATTCTGAGGGTGTTTGTGCTGATTTCCAACCCAGTGAAAGTGATGCTGCTTTCTGGAAAGCGCATCTTGCGGCAATCTGAAAGGTGTTCTGACCTGTGTCACTTTTTCCTTTTTTCCCCTCCCTCTGTCCCTGAACAGGAACGTCCAAGCAGCAGAAAGTTAAAAGAGGAGACAAAGCTGAAACCTTCCACGTCACTGCAGGAGGTGAAAGAGGAAGCACAGCCCCTGGAAGCTCTAACTACAGAGGGAGTAGAACCTCCTCAGGAGCAGGTGGACCCTGTTTTGTATCGGACATACCAGGAAAAAATTTATGTCGAAGTGAGTCTGACCAGAGCTTATATCGTTGTTTCTTGGGTTTATTCTTTGTTTGTAAGCTTATCTTGGAGTTTAGGTGGAGAGGTAAGCATAAACTCGGAAAACTGACAAACATATGTCCATAATTCTGTAGCGAGGTAAGTGTGAAATACAGGGGAGGTAACATGTCCTTGATTCCAGTCTGGAATCTGTTAACATCAATCCAGCCGTCACATAGCCACATGCGGGATTTCTATCTGGGATGTCTTTAGCATGCTTGTGGACTCTTGAGGGATCAGCAGAATTAATTGTATCTCAGATAATGTTAAACACACTTCATAGCCAGAAAAGTTATTACTAGAGCTAAGCTGTGTTAGCAGGCAGCCACTTTGATGTGGTTGTGTGCGTGCCCATACATTAATGTGCTCCTGCGTGAGAAACCATTTCTCTGTCTGTCAGTCTCATCATCGGGATTTCTTCCCGTGTTTTCACTGCAACTGTCGTCTGTTAATTTCTGCTGCAGGTTTACGGGCTGCTGAATTCAATGGTGAGCAAAATGGTTGCTTTATTTGAGGACCTAGAGAAAGAAGATGCTCTAAAGTGGGAGAGTAAAGCCCTTTGTGACTAGAAATAGCCTTACTTTTAAAAAATAAATAAAGAACCATATTTACACAGATCAAGTGGAGATTCTTCTTTCTGAAGTGATGCAGTGATTAGAAATACTGGGCTGCTTCTTTTCTGACATGCTGTGATGTGAGGCTATTGCTAGATCATCTGTTACTTCTACAGATGATCGCTTGCCAAGAAGAGACAAGGCAAGAAATATCACAGCCTCAGAAACTGTTAAGACTAGAAAATGCTGGCATTTCTGCTAAGGAAGAAGAATTTAAAAGTGCCAGTCAACATGAGATATGTCTTTATTCTTTGTTTCTCGATCTTGCTTGGCTAGCAGGTGAGTGAGCAGAGAATGTCCCTTACCAGGACAGTAACTTAGAAAAATCCATCCCATTTTTGATCATATTCTTGACCGCTTGTCCAGTCTCCTCTCGGGACTTGCTGACAGGAGGCTTCTCTGAGGCATTTCCAGATCCCAGTGAAAACGCACTATCCCAAGGGGTGTGCCACCCTGCCTGGTTTTGCACCCATGAGTTTACTTATCTTGCCATTACTTTCCATCCAGCTCAAGGTACCCATGCCCCATTCTAAGCCAACTCTTAGCTGCTTTCTTCCAAGACTAATCCCTCGTGAAATAAAATGAGTGAAATCATGCCGTAAGTATTGTGAGTGTGGTAAGGCCTTGTGTTACAGTCACCCCTCCTGTCCCTGTCAGCCTGCGTGTGCGTATGGGCTTATCGCCGCTTTCTGTCTGGGTTTCCTTGTGCATCGCAGCTGGAATGGAGCTTTTTGTGGAGACATCCCATGTCTGAGCGTTGCACGCTCTGCACGGGTCGGAGCGGGTTTCCAAGGCAGAGCGAGCTGGGTGCGGGGTCTCTCTTGACCCGGCATCGAGAGCGCTGCCGTATGTCAGTCCAGCGCTGCCTTCCTGCTAAAGCAGCTGGACGGCATTCCCCGAGAAATGACATCAGTGTGGATTATTAATTGAGGTTCGTGACACCTTTGGGGTTCTTAGGCAGCAGACGCGTATCCGCGCTGAGCGTTGCTGTTACAAACTCTGTACGTGGCTGTGCAGTTGCACCAGGCGCGTGTGCCTCAGGCACGTGCTCTTTTACATTGGCAGCCACAATGACACGCGTCTCGGAGCCGCACATAGTGTAAAATAACTGTTCCTTCTGCAGAACTGTTTTCTTTTGCTTTCTCATTTTAACCCTCGTTTATCCTTTCTGAGGAGGGGATATATTCTTCCCCTTGGATCCTGGCAGTAGCACGGCAAAGAGCAGCTTGGGGTTTTTTTGCTGGCCAGGTGAGGCCCCTCGTGTTTCAAGATGCTCTCTCTTAGCGGGGTGAGGGGAAGCGCTTTGGCTTCTGTGGAAGCCAGGAGCTTCTCCTGGCTCAACGGGCATAAACCCACAAAGGGAATGTCTCTGCTCAGCATTCCTGTAGTGAGAATTTCAGCAACATTTTGAGAATTAGAAGGAAAAAGGCCTGAAGTTGGGGTGTGTCTCACAGGCTCTGACAATAGCTCCTGCCTCCCTGGAGATGATTATCAGCTTGTGAATCTGCCCAACTCAAACAGCTCGAGCCATCTGTTTCTAGACAAGAGGGAGTCTGCACATTATAGAGGCAACGTGATTGTCTGAAAGGCAGGAACACTTTTATTTGATTGCCATCTTTGAAGGTAAAGCTAAGCCCGTTCGCATGATCCATGCCTCCAGCCCAGCCGATAGAAAGCAGGCTCCATGGGTACCTCCACTCACAGGAAAACTTGTTAATACGAAAACAGGTAGATGGGAGTTTTGCGTTAGTCACATACCATGGAAGAATGTCCTACCTTGGTCTCTCCCTCCAAGGGAGGAGCCTGGTTGCCCAGGGCAGGCGGGTGGCATAAGAACTTCTGCAAAGGAGAACAAACCTGAATGCTGTGAATAGTCTAATTTTTTGGGTCATAAATATCGCCGGTGCCTCTTACAGCCTTGGACAAGAGTGTCCTCAAGGGACAAGGTAGAAGCAGCGCACAGGAAGGGATGTGCTGGGCCAAGAAGTGCAAGAAGACGCTGCTGTCTGGCTGCTGCAGCTTTCTCTGAGCCAGCTGCCTTTTTTTTTTTCTTTCTTTCTTTCTTTTGCATTGATTTGTGGAAGTTACATGACTGGAACTGCAGTGGAATTAGAGCTGGCTTCCACCGATCACCTTTACAAACACGTACCCCTCATTTACAGCTGAGATGTGGGTCCTGTCGTTAGAGCAGAGACCCTCAGGGCTGCTCAGCCCTGTGCTCCGAGGACGCGTGGATGCTCCAGTCCCTATAATGCCAAATCCTAGCAGCCAGGCAAGGAGAATATTCCCTCTCCTCTCCCAAACGTGGGCATTATTTGTATTAGTGTTAATAATTTGTGTTGTGTTTGCTAAATAACCGAGGTGAGCGACCTTCCTGGCCTTGGGAGTTGCATACCAAACCCGTCACGTGAGTCGGGGCCTGGAGACACCACCATAACTATGAGAAGCTGGGAAGGGGGATTCTAAGGAAAATGCTGCAAGCAGAAGGTGACAGCACATTTCCAGAGGCTTCTCTATGGCGGGGGCGGAGGGGGTGTCTGGGGTCTGGATCCCAGGGCTGAGGGAAATCAGCTTTTAGAGCCTCACTGGGTCCTACTTCCTCCAGCGGGGTTGTGGAGCACCTTGCAAAGAGAACCCCACGTTTGTACAGCTCTGCTGTGGCTGGTAGGGTGTTGCTCCCAGGGAGAGGTTCACTTTGCTTATAAAAAGCTGGCTGCCTCGGCCGCCTAACAGAGGTGAACCAGGAGCATCGGGAACAGAGGAAGAGGAAGGTCTGGATCTTAGGCAACCACAAAGAATGCCTCCCACAGCCCGAGCTGGGATGTTCTCCAGGCTGACCTGGAGGATGGTTTGGATGCTGGAAGTGCTCTTTTCACGATCTGCAGCTGGGAGTGGGACTAGATGCACAATCAGCTTGTGCGGCCAGAGCCTGTTGGGAAAGTCAGGCTGATGAGATTGGCAAAGACCCTGGAGGCACGTGGCCTCCCCGTTGCCTTCTCCATGCCACCCAGGGCAGGACCTTCGGACCTTCAGCGCTGCCGGGGCCTGGGGCAAGACAAATCTCAGCTCTGCGCTTTGTGCGGCGGGAG